TACATGCTAATCCCTGTATGTTGAGTAAGTGAGTAAGGGATGATTGGATAGCTGGATAGAAGGATGACCAGATGGGCGGGTGGACAAATGGACACATGGATGGATGGCTAAAGTGGGTAGGTAGTTGGATAGACGGATGGGTGGGTGGAGGGATGGATAGGTGAATGGGTGAGTAGATGAAAAAGTATATAGATGAGTGGGTGGTGGGTTAGAAGGCTTTCTCATATGTAATATATTGTTATGGTCAAATAAGCTATCTGGAGACAACATCTCAGCTATAATGGACATTTTCCATAGAACAAAGGCAATGTCTGTTCACCACTATCCTACCAGTACCTACAGTTCAGAGTCTGAAACACAGAGGATTCTTAATAGATTTTTTTTGAATGACTGAAAAACCAAACAGACAGGAACCATGCAACTAAAAATACAGAGCCTTGCAGTGTTCCCTTCTATGCAAAGGACCCATCTCAGAAGTTTATGTTGACAGACCGGGGAAATGAATGAGATGTATCAGGGTTCCCAATCTGTTTCCCCAAGGAAAGAAGTGGTTACTCACACAGGACACAAGTTCTGCTAGAGCCTGGTGGAGCATTTGAGTGTAAGTTGTCAAAACATTTCTCAGAGCTGTTTTCTTCCCTGTATTTGAAGATCAGCCTGGTAGCAAATATGAAGGGTCTGTAGGGGCAGCTGTGTTGACACTTGTGGTCTTAGAATATTTTTATTTGCTTATTAAATGAATGACTTCTGTCCAAGATCAGGTCTGTCACTACAACTTTCATTAAATCTGCAAAGGCATTGGATTATACTTGTTCTTTTTTGTTGTGAAAGTATATTTTTAATGGCAGTTCATCTCCATTCATTGCGCTCACAATCCCTAAATGAGGCAGCGAAATAAACAAGCCAGAAATACCATTATAGAACCCAAACCTTTGTCTCCTGACTTCTGTTCTAGATCTTTCTTGAAAACAGAAGTCAGAAGAAGAAGTAGAATAAAAGATCATGGGCCACATTTCCAGCCAAAGCTTGAGGTTGGTTGCAGTTGGATGGTTGATGGGTCAAAGGTAACTGTGTTTATCAATGTGAGGCCTGTGGGTCTCTGATGGTGAGCAACATAATGTTAATCAAACTGTTATAGATTAATAATTGTATGGTTTATTTTAAAGTTAGAGGTGGCTCAGTCAGCTGAGTGTCCTACTCTTGATTTCAGTTCATTTCAGCTCAGGTCATGATCCCGGGATCATGGGATGGAGCCCCCTGTGTCAGGCTCCGCCCTGGGCTTGGAGCCTGCTGGGATTTTCTCTCCCTCTGCTCCTACCCATGTGCGTGCTCTCTCTCTTTAAAAAAAAAATTTTTTTTTTTTTTTTTTTTTTAGGAAAAAGAGGAGGGGTGCATGGGTGGCTCAGTCAGTTAAGTTAAGCATTCAGCTTCAGCTCAGGTCATGATCTCACAGTTCGTGGGTTCGAGCCCTGCATCAGGCTCTGTGCTGACACCTCAGAGCCTGGAGTCTGCTTCGGATTCTGTGTCTCTCTCTCTGTCCCTCTCCCGCTTACACTCTGTCTCTCTTTCTCTCTCTCTGTCAAAAGTAAATCAACATTAAAAAAAGAAGAAGAAAAGAAAAGATTAGAGGAATGCACACTGTCATTTCATGGGTGTTATCACTTGAGATGAGGTCAGAGTGTTAGCAAATGTTAAAAATGAGTTGACTTAAAGACAACAGTAGGTAAATCATAGAATAACTGTATGCAGCTAGAGCTGAGCTGGTAATGGAGAGAGCTCCCGTTTAGTAAGTTATTATGTGTTGGGCATGGTTCTAATTGTTTTACATTATGTAACTCATTGAATCCTCCAGGCAGCTCAGTGAATTAGGCAACCCTGAGGCTTGGTGAAGTTATACAACAGCCACTACGGGGCCAAGATGGAATTTGAACACAGGCAGTCTGACTCAAGAGTATGAGTTCTAATCTCTGCATGCTACCACCTCTCAAACAGAAAATAAAAGAATAGCACAGACAACAAAAACAAAGCCCCCTTTCACCCTGATAATCTGAGGCCCAGCTCCGTACATCAGTGCACTATGGAAACCCAACTAGGCCTCTGTTGTCACATCTCTAAAATGGGATCAAGCGTAGGGACAGGCATCCTTAGAGGCAATGTGTATTGGCCTAGATTTGCCATGTGACCTTGAGTCAGTCTCTCCCTCTCTCTGGGGGTTTGACTTGCATGGCTGTCTCCCCAGCGTCACTCATGGCTCTGTCCTGTGGAATCCAGCCCTCTGCTTGGCCTGAGGTAGTATCCAATGTTGGGAAGACTTCATGGCAGCATTAAGCCCCAAGGACACCCACTTTTTTTACATCCCAAATTGAGCAGAGCCTTGCCCGACAGCCTGAACAATTCGAGCAAGAGGGTAACATGATCAGATTGGGTTTTGAGGAGGCCCCTCTGGCTGCTGGGTAGGGAAGATTGAAGCCAGCCAGGGTGGAATGGGAGAGGGTAGGAAAGCAGTGGTCACTGGCGTCCAGGCAGGAGATGCTTGGTCCACAGAGCTATGTGGAGTAGGGGAAGACTAAAGGTAAATTCCAGGAGAGGTGTCGTGTTCAAATAGTGGCTGGCTATGTGAGGAGATGCTGAGATTTCCAGCTTGCTGCCTGGGACCATGATGGCACCCTTCATCCGTGGGAGGCATGGCTGAGAATCCTTTCCTCCTTCACAGTGCATGAGGAAGTACGGTTCAGGGACACGTTTAACTGGGTAACTGCTCCATCCCTCATCACTGCTGGTTATCCTCCACAGAGCATAATGGGCTCCTGCTGGGGCCTAATGTGGCTATCCTCTTATAGGGGTGCAAGGCTCCATTCCTTGTCTGAGGGTGCAAATTGACACAGGAGGCTCTGGGGTCAGGGAAAGGGAGCCAGGGCTCTAGGAGACTGGCCCATGCAGTCACTTTCCTGAAGGAGGTTCTGTGGTCTCTAAAGCAAGTGTGGTGTTCCTCTGACTCCCAGTGGCCTCTGGTGGTGTGGGAAGGGGCAGTGAAGAAGGTGTAGGGTGGTCTTAGGAAGGGAGGTGCTCACGTGCCTTTTTACACCTTGGCGGACTAGGACTTGTTGCAAAATCCATTGTTTGCTCCATTAGTTTGAAAGAAGAGGACAACAAAGTCAATTCTGAAAAAAGAAGAAAGAGGTCTGACCATAAGGGTAGCCAGTGGGACAGTAGAATAAGTTATGACTCAGCCCCAGTCAGGACTTAGTTTGTGCATCTGTACACAAGGACATAGCTACAGATGGTGGCACACACACATTATGTCAGCAAAAGCCCAGGCAGGAACAGGCCACCTTGTCTCTGATCTATCTGGCTTCATGGCTCCAGTGTGGACCAAGGGATGCCTATCTTGCTCTTGACAGAGCCCCTTGTTGCTTAGGCTCCAGGTATCCCTGGTTCTGGTTCCTGCAGTAGTGGAGAAAGAGCTCCAAAGATGGCCCCTAGTTGTACCGTAGCCTAAGGCTCAGTTTCTCTTGTCCTGGTGTCCCCTACCCTGGCCATGCTTCTCCCTGCCTGGACGAGAGGTAGGAACAGTGTCCCTGACCACATGAAGCATGGGCTAGCCTTGGCCCAGCCACTCCAGCAAGTGGATGCTTCCTCTTTTCTCCCAATTCATTCATCCATCCATCCATTGATCATTCTAGCACCTCATTGTGGCATTCCCAGAGAGCGGAAATAAAGATTTGATAAGAATTTAACAAGACCAAATACCTGGATTTTGAGTATGAGGAGAAAATTCTTGAGAAGTTTTCTGGGACCTCATTGCCAGTGGCAGGAAAGAGCCATTGTAAGTTTTCAAGTAGGAGATGGACATGGCCCAATGTTGTACAGCAATCACTCTGCTGGGTGGAGAGGGAGGCCCAGAGCAGGGAGCAGAGCAAGGAGGTGGTTGTAATGGGGTTAGAGCCTCCTCTGTGGAGATAGTTTCAAAGTCAGAGAAAGGAGGGTTCTTCTACTCCAGGTTGGTTTGTGACAGGCCAAGCTCTTTGCTGCCTCAGTGCCTTTACACATGCTGCTTCTCCTGGAAACTTCCCTGTGCTCTCACAGAGCTCCTTTTTCTCTTACAGACTCAGAGCAGCCCTCCCTGACATATCTAAACAGTTCCCCCTTGTTACTCCCTATGAAAGCACCTCCTTCTTCTCCCTTCACTTACAATTTATGATCGTATATTCATTGTTCCTTTTTTGAGACAGAGACCATATCTGCTTTATTTACCACTGTTTTACTCACTGCCTAGCTCTGTGCCTGGCATAAAGCAGGCAATCAAAAACATTTATTGAATAAATGTATTTAATCAATGGCAATGCTTATGTAATAGTCATAGTTACGTATATATGAGATTGTTAATCTCACCGGTGTAAGTTTTCTAAGCATTGATCCTCATAGCATCAGCCAAGAAAATGAAATAGGAATCATTATCTCCCTAGGTGGAAACTGACTTGTGTGCTGTTCATGATCTAGCTGATGGCAACACAGGGACCAGAGTCCACAATACACATCCCAAACTGTACTCCATCACTTATTCAGGCCCAGAGGACATGACCACCTTGGGAATGGCCCCTGCTGCCTGACCATGCCTGTCCAGACTGCCAGTCCAATCAGATTAACATCTCTTGACATCATAGTAATTATTTGTACCCTCCTTCAGCATCACAGCCTGCCTTGTATCTAACAGAGAGACAAGTCTATCTTAGACATCATGTGTAGAGGCACTTAGGTAGCAAAAGAGTGTGGCATATTCAGGGAACTCCAAGGAGGCCAGGATGGCTGGAGTGGGAGCAGGTAGAGAGGTTTGTGCCTGTGTCTTATTCAGTTCTGGGTCCCCATGGAGGGCAGAAATGGAGCTTTGCACCCAGAGCACTTGTTAATGGTTTGTGGCATTAATAGGGCCTCGGGTGTGTTCACTTTGCCTGTGCTGGACAGGGAACTCTAACCCTCTCTCTCCTGTGCTCTGACCCCAGCGCCTACACAGAGCCCTATAAGGTCTGTCCCATCTCGGCAGCGGCCCCCAAAGAGGACCTCTCATCGGATGAAGAGCAGGGAAGCTCAGAGGAGGAGGACAGTGCTCCAAGAGACCCCAGCCTCACCCACAAGGTAGGGCGCCCTGCCCTGGATGAGGGGCAGATGGGTTGTGGGGGATCAGAGGTGTGAAGGCTGAGAAAGTACGGTGAAGCATACACTGCACCCCCTCTTGGTGAGAAGGGAGCTGTTTGCAAGTCGCTGGCCCCAAGTTGGATACAGAGGAAGAGTCACTGCGCAGCTGGGGCTGCAGCTTTAAGACACGTGGCAGACATGGGGTTCTGCATTGGTGATGCCAGGGTGACAGCTCCTACGGGCTTCTTGGGTCTGAGGAATTTTGGGGTTCCAAGAGCCCTTGTGAATGAAGTGAAATAGAGCTGCATGATTGGAATCAAGACAGACCTGGATTCTAATGACCTCAGACCTCTGGGCCTCAGTTTCCTCGCTGTGAAGTGGGAATCTTGAGGATGAGTTAAGGGAAGTGTGTGAGTTTCCTTAACTGAAGACAGTTTTGGACTGAAAGCTGGTTTCCCGTACTCTGCAGTGGTGCTTTGAGGGGATGGGGCTGAGAGAAGGGCTCTTGCTTGTCTGGACACAGACGGTGAGTTGAGGCCCTGCCTGGGACAAGAACCAAGTCAGAGTGGAGGTCCAGACCTCTTAGTGGGCATTGGGCATTGGTGGCTGGTGGTAATTATATGTGCTCGCCACAGGGTGCTCGGGTCCTGTGCTTCACTTCCATTCGCTGGCATGATGTCAGTCCTTCCACACAGCACGTCTGGGAGCTAGGGTTTGCTTCCCTTGTTTTTTATTTGCAGAAACAGAGACGTGAAGAACTTGTCCAGGGTCACACGGCTGTTATTCCATGCCATCCAGGAAGTACCACACGGTGCTGGGGGCTGGGAATTCAGACCAAGAGAGACACCCACCCAGCTGCAGGGAGACAGGCGAGGAAGGTTGAGGCCAGCTTGACATTTCCCCCACTGCATGCCCCGGGCCCCGCTTGTCTGCAGAGGCGTAGCTGGGGAGGCTGAGGAGCACCACCTCCTGCCTCACAAGCCGCCTTCAGACACCTTGCCCCGTGCCTGTGTCCCTGTCTTTGTCAACCTCTCCTCCCACAGCCAGGGTAGGTGTATCACGTCGACTAAAGACTGCTCCCATGGAAGTGCCCCCCAGAGTGCCTGGCACTTACCAAGCCTTGTGTATAAATGGTCATGACTTCATTTTGTTTTCATCTCGTTGATTTCTTCTAACACCTCATTTATCTCTCTGCGCAGGGTTTTCATCAAGTTACCTTCCCAGGGCTGTGGGAGTGTTGAAGGGGGTTTTCCCACCTGGCTCTTCCTCAGTCCTTCCTGCTTTGGCTTCTGACCCTTCCTCCCCCTCTCTGGGTAGAGTGCACTGTCTGCTGCACTCCAGGCTTCTTTCACTCCTTTCTACAAATTCACTGTCAGTGCCATCACCCCCCCCTGTGTAACAGAGGACACAAAGATTAAGTAACTTGCCCAAGGCTACTCTGCCAGCGATTGAAGGGGTTGGATTTAAAAGTTACAAGCCCAGTGTTTGTTTGTTTGTTTCCCCTACAGCCCTGAAAGCCTTCTCTTACCTCTCCACTTCTTCCCTTCTCCCCAGAAGGAACTGTTGGCTCCTTGAGGGCAAGGGAGGAGCTTTAAGTTAGTGGAGCTATCTACCTACCTACCTATCTATCTATCTATCTATCTATCTATCTATCTATCTATCTATCTAAATATCTAGATATCTATCTATCTATTTATGCGAGAGAGTGAGTGAAGGGCAGAGAGAGAGAATCCCAGGAGGGGTGGGGAGCAAGGGGGTGCAGAGAGAAAGAGAAAGAGAGAAGCAGGGCTCACCTGAAGCAGGACTTGACTGGAACTCATGAACAGTGAGATCATGACCTGAGCCAAAGTCAGATGCCTAATGACTAAGCCAGCCAGGTGCCCCAGTAGTGCTATTTAGAGATGATTATGGCTTTTCTGCGCTTTTCTGAGCATCCGGATCAGGGGTTGTGGAACCTGGAAGCAGAAAAATGGTTGCTCTTTGGGATTTGGTCCCCACTCTGACACTGGGATTTGGGTCTGGGTACCAGGCCAGGAAGAGTTGAAGGGCTGACAAAGCAGTAGGGCACCCCCTGTGCAACTTTCTGTACCTCAGGGGGCCCCCCACCTAGTGATGGTTCCCCCCACAGTCCCCCAATTCTCTGTTAAATGTTCCTCTGGGACTACCTGCATCTCCTCCTCCAGCTGTGGTGCACACTTTGGTGTGTGTCTTTCCAGAATCTCTCGCTTGTATTCCCTTACATACGTTGTTTGTTATGAGTGGAAAGTGGATGGTATTGTTTGTGGAGTTGTTCTGATAGGTTGAGTCATGTCAAACTGTAAGAAACCTGGCCTAACTTGGTTGCATTCACACACACCTATCTTATAAGATTTTCACACATTGCTACAGCATTTTATTTATTTATTTATTTATTTATTTATTTATTTATTTATTTATTTATTTTACTGCTGCATGGTATTCCCATTTATGGGTATGCTATCCTTTATTTGGCCATCCCGCTGCTGAGGGACGTTTATAGTGTTTCTAATTTTTATGCTCTACTAACAGCTTTGCAGTGCACTTGTTCACACACCTCCTTGTGTACGTGCTTTTCTCTAGCATAGATCCCAGAAAGAGATTGGTAGGTCACAGAGGGGCATTTTCAATCTTTGTACCTGCAGCCATAGTGACCCCTAGGAGGCTGTTGCAGTGCTCACCCTCCCGGCAGCCCTCAGTGGATGTGAAGGGACATTTCTAGAGGGTGCAATCTTTCCTGGTTTTGGTGGGGGGAGGGAGGGGTGGAGAGAGGCAGCATTTGCTGTCATCTTTTTGTCTTCCACTGAAAGTTCTACTTCCCCAAAAGGCAAAGGCCTCCATCACATCAAGGGGGGAAAAAGAGCCAGATTTGCCATCTCCAGCCACCTCAGAGGAGCAGACCTAGGGAAGGTGTGAGTGAACCCCACCCATGCCCCGGGAATTGCTTCCCTGGGGCCACAGGAGGTATGTTTGGGGTGAGCCCCACCCTTCCTAGAGTTTGATATGGGTTATGTAAAAATAAACAAAAGGGGGTGAGCTCTCCACTCTTCCAGATGCTTTGAGGTGGCCACATCAGGAGTGGAGAGCCTTCTGGAGCAGGACAGGAGGCCGAGCCCAGCCGTCCACCCACCTGTCTGACTTTGCCCTCTCTCCCACTCACGGACATTCAAGGGGTATGGGTTGAAGGGAAGAGGGGGCAGAAAAGGGAAAGCAAGAAGGACATAAAAATAGATCTAATGTGAAAGGAGACAAAGGCAACCTGGCATATCACTCCTCCCTGACAGCAAGCCTGATTTTCAGACTAACCCAGACTTTTCAAGCGAAATACCAGCTCCCCAGAGATGAGCCCAGGAGTTGGTGGCCTCTCTGAGCCACCTCCTCCCTCCACCTCCTCCTCCCTCGCTGAGTCCTGTCGTCCCTGTGTTTCCCTGACAGGTCCACCCCCGAGCCCAGGCAGAAGTTTGCCCTGTCCTCTGGAACAGGCCTGCCCTGCTGTGACACCCTCCATGGCTGTGCCCACGGTCCATGTGGCCTGGCCTGGGCCTCCTTGCTGGCCTCGTGCCCCCAGGCCTCTCACCTGTCACCTCTATCTGATCATCTCCTCGAACTCTGGTTATTTCCACTGGGCCAGTCCCCACCTGGGTTAAATTCTGCCATGTGCTTTCTCCGTGCCAGAGTCTTGTCAACCCATTGTGCAGCCCCGCACCTTGGCTCCATGGTCTGTTCTCACTCCTTCTAGTCCCCAGGAAGCCCTCCTAATCCTGCAGCAGCTTCCTCAGGCTGCAGCCTGCTCTCCTTCCCAGAAAACATCCTCATCTCATCGCAAGCATGAACTACCTCCCGTCTCCATCTCTTGTCTCTGTATCCTCACTCCATTTCTCCCCGTCCCTCCTCTTCAGCAGAAATGTATTTACTGAGTACTGAGCACCTGCTATGTGCCAGGCATCCTTCCAACGGCTGAAGATACAGCAGCCACAAGACAGACTGGGTGCCTCCCTGCCTGGCTTCTAGAATAGAAGCTCCCCTAGAGAAGGAGATGAACAATCAGAAGGCCCCTGCGGTGGGTTTAGGCAGTGAAAGCGCTGTGCCATCAAAGAAACACAACAAACCTGGCAGGTGGGAGCTGGGTGCCAAGGGCGGGGTGAGGGGGGAAATTGAGGCAGTGAGGCCAGAGAAAGCTTTTTTTTTCCAATTAAAAAAATTGTGTTAAAATACGCATAACATAAAATTCACCATCTTAACCATTTTACATGTACAGTCTGGTGGCATTAAGTACGTTCACACTATTGTACAACCATCCCCACCATCAATCCACAGAACTCTTCATCTCCCCAAACTGGAACTTTGTCCCCATTAAATGCTAACTCCCCAGCCCCTTCCTCAACCCCTGGCACCTACCATGCTGCTCTCTGCTTCTCTGATTTTGACTATTCCGGGGACCTCATGTAAGTGGGATCATACAGTATTTGTCCTTTTGTGACTAATTTCACTGAGCACCATGTCCTCAAGGTACATCCATGTTGTAGCCTGTGTTCCAGTCTCCTTCCTTTTTTTTAATTTTTTTATTTTTTTTATTTTATTTTTTTATTATTTTTTTTTTAATATATGAAATTTATTGTCAAATTGGTTTCCATACAACACCCAGTGCTCATCCCAAAAGGTGCCCTCCTCAATACCCATCACCCACCCTCTCCTCCCTCCCACCCCCCATCAACCCTCAGTTTGTTCTCAGTTTTTAACAGTCTCTTATGCTTTGGCTCTCTCCCACTCTAACCTCTTTTTTTTTTTGTTTTTCTTTTTTCCTCCCCCTTCTCCTTCCTTTTTTAAGGCCGAATAATATTCCGCTTGTATGTACATATCACAGCTTGTCAGTTCATCCATCAGTGGGTGTTTGGGCTGCTTCCCCTTTTTGACTATTGTGAATAATACTACTATGAACACGATGTACAGATGTCTCTTTGAGACGTTGCTTCCAGTTCTTTCCC